CAGCTGCAACAGCTGCGGAGTACAGCAGGTATGCATGCTCGTAAGTGGGTATCCAATTCCGTACAAGTTCTCCAAGAAATACCAGAAGAGGATAGATTGAAAGAGATTAATATTTCAAATGGGTGAATTGCTATCTGTAAAAGCACTTGTCTTCCTGTGGAATGCAGAATCTGATGACTTTAGATTTTCTTTCACGTCCTTAAAGCAGGATATCAAGATGACTAAGAGGAATTTCTTGAAAGAAATTGCTAAGTTGTTTGATCCTCTTGGGTTCTTAGGTCCATTCATAATTAGGGTAAGGGTTCTTCTGCAAGAGATGTGGCTATCCGGTGTTAACTGGGATGAAACCCTCAGTCCAGATCTGGAACCAAAAGCATGGTTTTGTTCTGTAAAATTTCCAAGGGGGCTTAAGGTGAGCTTAGATACTTAGATACAAAGATGAAGTTGCACACATTTGTAGATGCTTCAGAGGCAGCATTTGGAGCTGTGGTTTATTTAGTAACCACTCGTGAGGATGACACAAAGTCTAGTTATCTAATTGCTTCCAAGTGCCATGTTGCTCCCCTCAAGGCAGTTAGTATGCCATTCTGGGAGTCCGACTGTTACTGGCTAAAACAAAGGCATTAGAATTACCTTTGCAGTGTGCAACGCTATGGTCAGACAGCCAGAACGTACTGTGGTGGATCAAAAGACAGAGTTAATGTTTTAAGCCATTTGTAGAAAATAGGATTGGATACATACAGGAGCATACAAACATCAGTCAGTGGAAATACGTACCATCCAAACTGAATGCTGCAGACATTCTTAGTAGAGGTGTAGACGATGCACTTTTGACAGAGAAATGGCTGAATGGACCTGAATTTGTGACACATGATGAAGCCGAATGGCCAAAGCAGACCATTGATATGGACAATACTGAGAAATCAGAACTGAAGACGCCTTCTTCTCAAGTAAACATCGCCATGTTTACTAAGTCTGATCCAATCTCATGGAGATTAGCGCCATCTAGATTTTCTAGTTGGAAGAGACTGTGTAGAGTGTCTGCATGGATCTATAGGTTTCTGAACAATGCTAGGGTTCCATATTCACTTAGGAAAACGGACAAATGTATCAGAGAAGGTAATTTGTAATCATTAATGTCCAAAGAAAGATTTTAATTAACGGTGGTAACCATAATTTGTTCCAAGCACCTACGGTATTCGGTAATAACGTCAACAGTTTAAATCATAAGTCCCAAGCACGAGAATCTGATGGCACACAAGTTCAGTAGCGTGTATGGCCACCATGTGCGTTGACAACTGCCACACAACGCCTCCGCATGGACCTTGTGATGCTTGTGAACACATGATCGGGAAGACGACGCCATTGTTGCTGCAAAATGGTGCCAAGATCTTACAAATTCTGTGGTTGGTTCTGGAGAGGGCGCAGACTTCTGCCAAGAGCATCCCAGACGTGTTCGATGGGATTGAGGTCGGGAGACCTTGACGGCCAGTCCATGACGTTGACTCCCGCATTCTTAAGGAAATTCCATGTCAAAATTGCTGTGTGGGGTCTGGCATTGTCGTGTTGGAAGATCAAACCGGGTCCATGTGCTGCCATAAAAGGCAGAAGTTCTGGTGCCAGTACCTGGTCACAGTAAGCAGCAGCGTTGAGGTTGCCACGGATGACAAGAAGCCTGGAACGTGCATTGCCACAGAAAGCACCCCACACCATGACACTTCCGCCTCGAAATCTGTCAACTTCTTGTACACAACACTGGGCATAATGTTCATGACGGCGCCTCCACACCCTCGCCCTACCATCAGCAAATCGAAGATTAAATCGGGATTCATCACTGAAGACGACTTGATTCCAATTCCTCTGAGTCCATCGTAAGTGTCGCTGTGCCCACATTTGACGTTGACGTCTGTGTAATTGAGTCAGAATCGGCCTGCAGTATGGCCGTCGTGCTTGAAGGTGAGCAGTTCTCAGACGATTTTGAACAGTTTGCACACTCAGTCTACCCCTAAACAGTTCATTTCTGTTTGATGTAGCCGTCAAAAATCGGTTACAGAGGTGACGTAAGACAATCTGACGATCCTCTGCATGTGACATCACACATGGTCGACCTGGCCGAGGGTGATCAGTGGTGGTACCCGTTTGCTGTAGACGCGTCTGTAAATCATAAACAGTCCGGCAACTACAACCCATCGTCCTTGCGACTTCAGCTACGGACATTCCCGTCTGCAACATGCCGATGGCACGTTTATGTTGCACATTTGAAAGGCGTGGCATGACAAATGGCCGTAAAGACTTTTATTTTCTTGTGTTTTTCTTTTTTAGTTAATGACTGCTAACAAGTATGGCTGAAAACACGTGCGGTATTATGGCCACGTGACCAGTTGCACGTGAAAAACCACTTTTGCCTCTATAGTGCTGTGCACATGATTTTGATCGATTCACCTGCACAAAAACGGGTGTTATTTGAAGACAATACATGGCCATTACTGTTTAAATACACAAAAAGGGCCCACAATGATAACTGGTCAAAATGTTAAAATTTTAGGATTGTGAAGTTTTTAATTTGGTTCAGTATATATCCCCATGTTATGGTTTGTGTGCACAGCAATACAATGATTGATAATGTCTTATCACTCACAACAGTAGCACTATGGGCCATGTGGGGAATAAGTGGGGGAGAGTCCAGGGTGTTGTGTGTTCACACATTGTCCAGGAGTTTTAAATATGTCACCTTTTGCTATAACAGAATGTGCTGAAGACTCTTGCCCACCTTCGTATCTCTATTTACCGCTCTGGGTCTTTAGCAGATGAATTTCTAGGACTCTGTATCGGGGACGGGGTACATTCTGAAGTGAGTTTTCAACATTAAACTTGTCCCACTAAATGACAGCTTTCTTGTGCTGTGTTTTAGCTCCCCTAAGTAGTGGCATCAGTACATCTTTTCTGTAGGCATTGCCCTCTTCTGGGAACTACTCTGTAATGTTGTGGGGTTTACCTTCAGCTCCCAGCCCGCCATTTTCACCGTGTCTCTATCTTTGGTGTACACAGAAAAACTTGGCAATGATGGGATGTGGTTCAGGGTTGTTCCCAGGGTGAGCTGGGTTTTTTGGTCGTCCAATGCGGTGTACTCTTGATATCGGTACTCTCTTTTTCAACTCTCTTGATATGAATGTTCTCAGGGTCTTCCCAGATCCCTCCAGACTTAGTGGATTCTCTGTTTCGACTGTTAGTGAACGTTAGATCATGCATCGATCTGCATCTACTGTCAGTGATGGCCTTCATTCTTACGTTGTCGTGTTTTAAACTTGTGAGTGAAGGTTCCTGAGCAGCAAGTTTATCCTGGAGAGATTGTCACCATGGCTCCTTTCCACTCATCGAAACTCAAGTCACCAAGTTCACACATTCTTCCAAATTGTTTACCTTTTCTTTCACACTTTCAATCTCTTGTACTTTCTTTTCAAGGTTCATTAGTCTAACATTTATGTGTGAGATTGAAGCTTCGATAGAAACAAGTTTAATTAGCTTAGTGTTCATGTCACTCAGCATGGCCTGTATCTGAGTTGAAAGGTCAGGGGGAATTGTGTGATTTGGGGCATTGGAACTACCCTGGGTCTGTGGTTGTGGGCGTTGGTTCTCATAAACAGATGTAGATTCATTCTGGGTGTCAAGAGACTGGTTCATGAGCCTCTCTGTATTATTCATGTTTACGTTCATGTTTACAGACGGGTCGCTATTATGTGTCAATGTGTCACACTCAGGTGCACAACCAAAGCTTGAATGTACTCACCAACGAAGATGTCTTCTTCCTTTTTCTACCTTTACTCATATCCTTTCATCAGAGGTTGACGTTGAAGTTACCATAGAGCCATTGTGGGCGCATGAATAACCATAGGATAGTGTCAGGGCATCAAACTGTCGAGGACTCATCAAAACAACAACCCGCACCCTCCTTCTTGATGACATCACCTTAGTGTATATTTGAAGTAGCAAAGCTATATTTTAAGATAAGATGGTGAAAACTGTGACAGGAAAAGCATTAACCTATTTACATGAATTATACTAGGTCAGACACTTAAAGCAATAAATCTGAAATATTTATCATGTCAGTTACCAGATATATGTAAAATCAGCTACTGCCGCACATGAATTTCTGATTGGAAAGTACATAATGATTACGATATTTGTGCAATTTTCATGATTTGGAGTTTCAGCTGGAGCCTCTCCATGCACAGTCCATTATTTGTTGATGTCAAGGCATTTGCACTCACACTTTTTTCATTAGAATTCATTTCAATAATTTTAACAAGTGCAACAGCCTCTGTGGCCTAGTGGTAGAGCATATCCCCGGGGGTCGGAAGGTGGGGTTTTGATCCCTGGTCACGTCTCACCAAAAAATGTTAAAAAGATGGTACTTGTTGTTAGCCTGTGCTGGCGCTCAGCATCCAAGTCCGTAGACAGTGTCTGAATGGGGTGTTCATGTGTAACTGCTACATGGTATCTCGATGGGCTACCATGATAAAAACGTCATTAGTCCGGACTAGTACAAGCAGCAACACACACACATGCATGCACATGGCTATATAAGTGCAATATCTTGAACGCGACGTTAAACCCCATTTCACCTCACCTCATAACAAGTGACCAATAACAGGCTCTGAACTATAGAGTAAAATATATTTGAGTTAATAACAAGTATTATTCTTTCATGATGCATGAAACCATATGCACATCACCTTTGACCTACCCAAAATGTTACTATACTTACAAATATGTACACATAAAACATATGTACATAAATGTATGTACTGATTTACTATCTGGTAAATTACATTGTGGTACACTCATTGTTTCTTGTGAAAATTCAACATCACAAACATGGAATGTCCATTGCAAGGACATTAAACTTTACGTAATTATGTTAATTATAACAAAGCAGCATTTGAGCACAAGTCCTGAAAGAATACTGGTTTCTTCACTCAGCACAACACTTTCCATTTCAGGGACATTCCTGTGTAACAATGAGAAGGAGAGAGTTGGCCACCATCTAACAACAAGGACTGTCTCTCTATGGTATGAACACTATCCAATTTCATGTTTGTAACAAGTACTGCCGTGCCCACCTTTCTGAGTTTAGTTCACATGAACCACAATGTTATATGTTTAGGTTCATGACCTCCAATTTGGTCTTGGCGACAGTAGTAAGACCTGAGGGGGAATAGGTCAAAGAGTAAGGTAGAGGGCAGATCTTTTTTACCTATGCCCCACTCAGGTCTAACTGCTCTCACTGAGACCAATTTCGAGATCATGAACCAATTTCTCAACCTACATCTTCTTAGATTGATACATGCATTAATCAAATATGTGGTATTCATTTCGTATATTCCTGGTTAAAATTGGCTCATCTAACGCTTATTGATATTCTAGCACATGTGGCAATCAGTGGGTGATGCACACTGTCACAAACAATGTGCTTAGTGAACCTTTACTTCATCACCTGCCCCTGTGGCTCAGTGGGAAAACACTGGTTTGCAATACAAAACATGATTTACCGGTATGTGGATGCAGGTTCGATTCACATAAATGTATTTTCTTGTGCAAAAATTTGTCAAAAATCAACACAAGTCTTCCTGAAAAAGTAAAATATTCAAAGTTGCTCATGGCTTTCAACTGTATTGAGTCCGAATACTTGTTCAGAGGATTAAAACCTGTATAGAACAATGAGATTACGTCATGGGAGATTTATAAGGCAGTTTCATCATCTGAACCAAGGGCGGAAGTGAGCTTGTGTGTGGCATGTTGTCCTTGTCCACTGTCAGGCATCTCCTCTAAAACCACAAGAATTTTTAAAGTACATAAACGACTAAACAGTCCAGGTGATAGCGTCAACGCATAGCAATGCTATCTTACTCATTCCCATTTTAGCTGAAGCAGGGAGTCGTATTCCTTTAGCTTTAGGCTATCCACATAGTTCCCAGAGACACAGGGTTCATATAGTCTGCAAGGTAATTTAAGGTACCGACGTTTACTACAATATCTGAAAAACTATCTTACCTACTCCAGTCAAAGTTGGTATGAGATTATTAAACAGTCATACATAACTGGATATTACATTTAAAGACAATCGGTGCATGAATAAAAAATCTGTTTATTTAGCTATCACTATATTTCATCAACAACCAGACCTGTTCGTCATGGGTGGAACGAGCATTCATTGAAACAGCCATCTGCATAATGCTACCCTGCGTCACAGGGCCATATGACACAGTTGAACCAATCAACTCAACTCGAAAGGGTGCACAGGAATCACGCACACACAAATACGGTGTTAGCTTTGGGCATCTCAACGTCGTTGAGACGCCCAAAGCTAACACCGTATTTGTGCGTGCGTGATTCCTGTGCACCCTTTCGAGTTGAGTTGATACGGTGTTAGCTTTGGGCGTCTCAACGTCGTTGAGACGCCCAAAGCTAACACCGTATTTGTGCGTGCGTGATTCCTGTGCACCCTTTCGAGTTGAGTTGATTGGTTCAACTGCGTCACAGTAGCGTTGAGAGCTTTAAAAAAGCCTTGAAAAGGAACCACTATCCCATGCCAACAATCGAGGACATCCTTCCTGAACTTTCAAGTGCCAAAGTGTTCACAGTGGTTGATGTCAAAAATGGCTTTTTGCATGTCTGTTTGGATGAGGATAGTAGCTACCTCATGACTTTCGATACTCCATGGGGTCGCTATAGATGGATCAGGATGCCATTTGGAATATCCCCGGCGCCTGAGGAGTTCCAGAGAAGACTCAACGAATCGCTTGAAGGTCTTCATGGTGCCAAAACTATACATGATGATATCATAGTGTATGGATCAGGAGACACTATGGATGATGCAGTCAAAGATCATGACTCTAATCTGAAAGCTGTGTTTGAAAGATGCAGGTCAAAAGGCATCAAATTAAACTTTCAGAAAATGAAGCTGAAGAAAACTGAGGTATTCTACTTAGGACATGTGATATCTGCTGAAGGTTTGAAAGCAGATCCATCAAAGGTGGAAGTGATAGTGAAAATGCCTGTTCCATCAGACAAACAGGGTATCCAGCGTCTGTTGGGACTCACTAACTTTGTCCAGAGATTTGCACCACAACTGTCCGAAGCAACTGCACCATTCAGAGAGCTGCTCAAAGCTGATGTTGCTTTCAAGTGGACTGATGACATTCACACTAAACCCGGGGCGGTCGGGTAGCCTAGTGGTTAAAGCGTTCGCTCGTCACGCCGAAGACCCGGGTTCGATTCCCGACATGGGTACAATGTGTGAAGCCCATTTCTGGTGTCCCCCGCCGTGATATTGCTGGAATATTGCTAAAAGCGGCGTAAAACCATACTCACTCACTCACTCACACTAAACCCTTAAATGAAGTGAAGCAGATCTTGTCCTCACCTGTCCTGAAATACTTCAATCCAGAATTGGATACAGTTGTTCAATGTGACGCTTCTGAGAGAGGTCTGGGAGCGTGCCTTCTTCAGAACAACCAATCAGTCATGTATGCATCAAGAGCTCTAACAGAGACTGAGATCAATTAAACTAAAATTGAAAAAGAGCTTCTGGCTATCGTGTTTGGTATGAAGAAGTTCGACAACTATGTGTATGGGAGACATATTCTTGTGGAATCAGACCACAAACTGCTAGGACTATCATGAAAAAAAGCCTACTCAGTGCTCCTAAAAAACTCCAAAGGATGATGCTATGCTTACAGAGATACGACTTTGAGGTACTCCACAAGAAGGGTACCCTGATGGTCTTGGCAGATACCCTGAGTTGAGCTTATCTGCCACAGAAATCTCAACATCAAAGTCATGATGTTTAGAGAGTCATGTCCATCTGTACTGAACAACAAAAGTTCCTGTGACATTGAATAAGATTTAATGCAAAGTTATGTTTTTTACCAAATCTGAAACAATTTCGGTTTGCAACAGATAAAAGACTCCTGTAAGTGTTCAAATGGTTTAATTTGCCATACTGACTTGCGTGATTTCATAAAAAAAACAAATCAATAGCAAGTGTCCACCTCTGGTTGCGAGCAAGCAACACATCTTCACCTCATGGAATGGACCAGGCGTCGCACAAAGTCCTGTGGGATATCTGGCCATTTCTGCTGGAGCATGTTTCGAAGTTCCTGGAGTGTTTGTAGAACACGTGGTTGACGTCGAAGGCGCCAATCCATCTCATCCCACATGTGCTCCATTGGTGAGAGATCAGGGGAGCGAGCCGGCCAGGGGATGACATTCATGTTGTTTTGTTGAAGAGAATCCTGAAAAAGTCGAGCAATATGAGGCCGGGCATTCTCATGTTGAAAGGTAATGCCTGGGCCATGACGACGCAAAAACGGTAGAACAACAGGGCCGATGATCTCGTCGCAGTAGCGCTGTCCATTGAGATTTCCCTCTACCACTATCAAACGGGTCCTCTGTCTTGCTGTAATTCCACTCCATACCATAATGCTGCCGCCCCCGTACCGATCTTCCATGACACAATGATTGACGTAATGTTCACCTCGACGTCAGTACACTCGAATCCGTCCATCGCTGTGGCTGAGGTGAAAACAAGACTTGTCAGTGAATAGAACTATTCCCCACTGCATGGCCGCCCAGAGTAGATGCTGTCTGGACCACTGTAGACGTGCTTGACGGTGGTTTTCTGTCAAAATGGGATGTCTGGCTGGTCTTCTGACGACAATCCCTGCACATCTGAGGCGACGATGTACGGTTTGTGAAGATATTCGTCGAAGGCCAGGAATGCTTCTTGCAGTCACTGTTGCTGGCTGGAATCGATTTCGTAGGTGTGTTGTTCGAATCCAGTTGTCTTGTCGATTATTGGTTACGCATGGGCTGACGAGGATTGTCTTGCAACATCACATTGACTCAATCCTGCTTCAAACATACCAATGGCTCGCAGAGGCTCATTTTTTGGACAGGCTTGGCATTTCGTAATGTTGAATAATTGTGTAATTTTTTATTTTTTTCTGAGTTGTTGTCAGCACAATGCTAAACAATGCATATGGAATCCCGTTAACTCACATGTTTTTATACCCATTCTTGGGTAGTGAAATGCATGGGGCTTGCAACTTTTGCATGGAATGTATGTTTTTCTGTAGCAGTTGTGTTTTTGTGACTTGATTCTATACATGTTCTTCAATATTGAAAACCAAACTTTACTTGTTTGAAAAATACACTTAAATATTGGTGTGACAGGAACTTTTGTTGTTGAGGATATGAACGTTCTGAAACGGAAGTTGATATTGAATCAATCAATATGGTTCAGTACATCCAAGTGTCATCAAATACATTTGATGAGATTGCCGACGTATCATCTAAGGATCCAGAAATCAAGTCACTGATTGCTGTCATCAGAGATGGATGGCAAGTAAATGTGCAGCAATACTACAACCACAGAGATGATGAACTCTCTTTCCAGGTTGATGTTGTCTACAAAGGTGTAGACAGGTGTAGTGCCGAAATCTGTTCATCAGAACATCATGACTAAACTACATACTAGTCATATCGGAATACAGGGTTGCGTGAGAAGAGGTCGTGAAGCTGTATTCTGGCCCAACATGAGCAAGGATGTCACGGAATACATTGGCAAGTGTGACATCTGTGCAGTGTATGTGAGTGAGTGAGTATGGTTTTACGCTGCTTTTAGCAATATTCCAGCAATATCACGGCGGGGGACACCAGAAATGGGCTTCACACTTGGTACCCATGTCGGGATTCGAACCCGGGTCTTCTGCGTGACGAGCGAACACTTTAACCACTAGGCTACCCGACCGCTCGCAGTGTATAAAGACAATCAACAGAAAGAACCTTTGATCAACCATGATCAACCTAGGTAACCATGGGAAAAAGTTGGCACAGACTTTTTTGAGTTTTAGGGAAAGGATTACCTCCTCACAACAGATTATTATTCTGATTTCTTTGAAGTGGATCGACTGTTCGACAAAACTGCTTCAACAGTCATCAAGTTATTCAAACAACACTTCTCACGACATGGCATTCCAACTGAAGTTGTTTTAGACAATGGATGTCCA